CATTGTACTCCTGGCATTTTGTACACTTGTCCGAGATAGACTTCGATACGATTGAACGAGAGTCATTTTACACTTTCGTGAAACTGTAGACTTTTCAAAGGTACCAAAATTTCGGTACTAATGAAGATGTTAGGATTCCGTATAGTTGAGGTCCCTGGCAAAAGTGTGTGTTAGCCTCACGTCAAGACATACAGATATTTTTTCATTAGATAAAGTGTATCGTATATATCTAGCAATGCAGTCACACCTCTATATGCGGACACCAAACTGTGCGACCAGAAAATATTGTTCCACATATAAACCGTTCACATTGGGGGGTAACAAATTGACCTAATTCAAAGGACTAAGATATGGTGGTCTGAGTCCTGCGCTGGATACACTCGTTCCTGACAAACTTCGCCACTTTTGCTAAAGCTCGTGTCTCTTTGTCGCAATTGGAATGGTGGGCAATAAACTCTGCAAGCTGGATACAGCAAGCTATAGCCGCTGATGGTTGTATCGGAATTTCAGCCTCCGAGTCGTTGCCACTCTCTTGATCCGCATCAAACCCAACTCGTTCGCTCACATCATAAGCACATTCAACTGGCTCTGCTGAGTCCGCGTCAATGTACGCATCGATAAACAGTCGCTGGCCTCCGCCCATGGTTGTTCGCCTCCAAAACTCTCGATCACGGTCCGGCGAGTGTTCAGAATTGGAGAAAATTCCGTGTTTTTGTGACCAGATTTTGTTGCAGTTCCAAAGATTCCACTAATGAAGGTAGCATACAAAAATAATACAAAAAACCGGTGCAACGCGCTGGCGTTCCACATATAAGATTTGATTCACTATGGGAGGTCCACATATGGAGGTGTGACTGTAGACCAGGAACACTTGTCACTGCTGAAATAGAAAAGCACGCTGGATAAAATATTACTTGAGATGCTCTCAGTTCAGCGCCTGGATGATGCTTACGAACCTATATGGAGGCTAATAAATGTGAGCTACTTCGACAAAGTTTCACCTGTGCAACAGGCGCAGCGCAGACACCCGATAGTCACCACTTAGAAATTCTGCCACACATCGTGCCTTCATGGTGCTTAGCAAATTGTATGGTGTAGCGTCGGATCTCAGCTCTTTGGCTACATCTTACCTTTTCAATTAACCATTCTGGTTCTACAGACGTGATTTGAGTAAAACTACCTTATTGATCGCCCATTCAACACCTGAAATTTTTTTTTGGGATAAGCTGCAGATGTCAGCAAGTATTTTTTTTATCGTGGATTAGCATGAAATCGCCAAGTGTTGACCAGGAAAGCTAGTGAGCCCTTCGTTTGGAATCGAATTTTATCTTTGCATTTGAACCCGTTTCGCAGACTTTATATTATTGTGGCATCTCGTCGGACTCACTACACCCTACAAAATCCATCATAGCGCGATTGTTAAGACATGTTTCACACGTAGCATTCGGTGATTGGGATCATTTGCAATAGACATTGAAAGCGATCTAAGGATTGATCAAAATAAGTATCTGAATACCAAAAAGATATCAGATAATTACGACACGTAGAGGGGTGACGCTGATACTCGATACTTTCTATGCTAGCGGAAGATGGACATTTTTTCGGGTATGCAACAAAAGCTTCAAGAGCTCGAGTGGAGTGTATGCTTAACATATTTTCTTGCGGAGTTGGCGGGCCCACCAAAAAGACAGTGCAATCGTTGACGACCAGGAAAAACGGATTGGAATTTTTCCATGACCCTCAGTCGAAGTTCTATTTACTTTCACCACATCGTTGCGCCAAAAAGATGGCGCGTAGCAAAGAACCAGACATCAGAACTCCGGCTCGGCAAATTTAGCAAAATTGGGTTGTGATCGTCGAAAGAAACGAGCTTTATGCTCAGGAATATGTGCGTCGACCGCAACTTTGTGGTGGAAACAGATAGCGGCACTTGAAGATCAAACGGAGGAGCTTAAAACAACTGTTCCGAAGATGTCGACGTGTTCGGGAGATGTCGACGGATAAAACGACTACCCCATACATGAGTGAATTCCCGAAATGGCATGTCAGTATATCAAGCTGCTGGGCTGGAAATACTCTTTCTAATTGACCATGAACTCTACGGCAAATCTAAGAAGCAGACTTGAACAGATTTGCAGCATAACGAAAGATACGCAGTTAAATTGAAGGCTGAAATGTGAGCATTGAATTATCATTGCGCTCGTAGTCTCTTCGACATTCCAGTAGTTGCAGTCTTACCACGCTTTCGTGGCTGTTGCTCTGACTTTAACTCTAACTCCTCTACAGCTCCGCTATCACTGTCAGTCGTTTCGACGGTTGAATCGTTTCCTGCAACTGGCAGCAGACTTTTCATGGTAACAATACTAAAATCCACGAGATATGACTTTTGCAGCATACGGTCAATCCGCTGAAAGTGTCGTTCGCTATAGACAATTAAAGCTTCGATTGTCTTGGAAACACCTTGAAGCGATTTCAGACGATTTGGAGAAATTTCGCGCAAAATGGTGCTCAAAAGGACTTGGCAAACGCTAGTGTTGCGAGCGTTGGTATTCCAGTCTCGCAACCATTCCGTAAGCGTTGTAAGTTGCTCATCTGTCAGACTCCGCACCACAGGTTCAAAAGTGTCCTCAGGTAGAAAAGTGTTCGGGTCACCGTCGCGATAGACAGGCTGGTCCTTGTGTCGCGGTCCTTCGAGTAGATGGCGTAGAAGTTGTAATAGGCGATTAGGGTATTCAAGCTCGAATGCGAGCCGCACAGCATCCAATAAATTGTTATTTCGTAGGCAACTAAAAAGCTTCTGCTCTTTAAGCAGCTTGGCATCACGGTCGTCCTGCTGAGCCTTCTCCTCCTCTTCCGTAAAGTCTCGCCATATATTAATAGTCGAATCTGCACCTCCACTAACCATCTCAGAGCTGTCCTTGGCAACAGAGAGAGCCCATATTTTGTCCTCGTGATTGTCCAGCGTAGCTTCGCATTCGCTGCTCTTGATGGTCCAAAGCTTGACGAGCCCGTCGGCTCCAGCAGACATAAGTTGCATACCGGCACAAGCGAATTGCACGCTCAATACAGAGGCAGTGTGACCCTCAAATGTCTTCAAACAGGTAAAGTCCTTGGCCGACCACACCTTCACAGTCTTATCACCACTGGCAGAAGCCAGGCATTGATCAACTGGAGAGAACTCAACGGACCAGACACCACGTTTGTGGCCTCGACACACACCAGCCAGTGTCAAAAGTCTGGAAGTGCCACTTTGTTGTGAGTACCACACTTTAATGAGCTTATCTTGCGATGCACTGGCAATAAAACGATCATTCGGTGATACTGCGAGCGCGTTCACGTCTTTGTCATGAGCCTTAACCGCACCAAGCGTAGTAATCGTCAGCTCTGGTGGCGAAACTTTTGTCTGCGAGGCATACACACCTGCCAGCGGTTGAAGACTCCACAGCTTTAATGTCTTGTCCGAGCTTCCAGTAACAAAAAAAGCAGCGCCGGTGGCAAAGCTAGAGGCACGTTGTGAGATAGCAACAGCACCGAGGGCCTCCGTGTGACCTGCACAAGCCGCTATACAACGTGGCAGCGTCCTGCCCATCTTTTTACCACCAGATGGACGCAAGTCCCATAGTCGAGCAGTGCGATCCTTTGAAACACTTACAAGCCATCGTCCATCGGGAGAGACTGCCAGAGCCATGACGATATCTGTGTGACCAAATAAAAGTTCACAGGACAATGTGTGTTTGTTCAACAAACGAATCTGTTCACTGTTCGTAGCCACGGCCAAAACGTCTGAGGGCGCTCCACTTGCATCAGCCTTTGGAATGTACTTGAGATTAAGAATATCATCGTTGTAGCCGATAATTTGTGTACGGCGTGTCAAGTTCTCATCAAACACTATCAAATTCTGCTCAGACGACACAACTACGACCTCGCGACGGGTTGTACCAAGCAGCAGGTCCATGTACATAAGTGAAGATGATGCATTTGATTCCTGTGCAAGCAACATTTCGCAAGTACTGCCACTGCTACGCCACAGACGCAAAACACCTTTTTCTCCAGCTGTTAAGAAGTAGATTGCCTTGTCGTCGTCAAATTTTGATTTTATCGAAGAAACGCATTTGAATGAGGAAGGCACAATTACCAAGCCTTCAATCGCTTCATGTACCAGTACTGTTTTGCTAAGTTTTTGGTTCCTTAAGTCCCAAAAATTGACGACCTTATCGCGTCCGGCAGACAGCATAGTACACCCATCTTCTGAGAACACCACACTAGTCACAACACTCATATGGTCCTGAATGCACGCCACTTGCTTCTGTGTGTATAGATCCCAAATGCGCACTGTGCCATCATCACTGGATGATACAAGCGACAGTTGCACCGCATTAGGATGAAACTGCACGAGCGTCACAATACCAGCATGTCCCCGAAAATTGTGCGTGCAAAAGCCTTTGTCCACGTCAAAAACTTTGACGGTGCGATCACTACCGCCTGTAGCCAGCAACGTACCCGATGGGTCGAAACACATTGCAAGAACAGGAGTGTCATGAGCCTTGATAGTGCGCACACATTCAAAGGTATTCAAGTCCCACACGCGCAGAAGCAGATTTCGACCGGCTGTCACCAATTGATTTTTCTTGCCAGGCCGTACAGCAAACACCACAAAAGATTCCTTCATATCGTCATCTTTAACATCCTGCTGCAAAGTACACTGAAGCTCACCAGTTTCCGCTTCGATGATGGCCACGTCATCATGTAGCATACAGGCCATAAGTGCGCGATGCTCGGAGGCGGAGCCAATGCAGCCATCAAAAAGTTCAACTTTCCCACCTGTGTATACACCGCCATGAGTTTTTACCGTACGCCAAACCTTGGAAAGACCCGAGTGAGTCGAGTAAGTGCTAGCTGCACTGGATGAGATCTGTGCGAGCTGCGAGGACCTGCTCATGTTAACGCGAAATTGAATGGAGTGAAAGAAATATTTGGGCACACTAGTTCCGACCAATCAGCGCAAGAGGTTTTGGCTCGTTTACGTAAGCCTGCATTCCGATGTCATATTATTGCAGCAGTCACATGTGCACAGCAAAATTTACCACATCGTGAAATGAAGAGCTCGAAACTTTCGTCGCAAAGTAAGGTAGCATACGAACTAATAGAAATTTAAGATGGCTAAAGTGACGGCGCTACCACATCTAGAATAAGCAGTTTCCTAATTAACTACAAGATATGAATAGTCAATTAAACCCAATTACTTAAACCTTGATTCGCTAACAGTGACACATAGCTTTGAGATTGAAGTAAAGACGGCTGTGAAGGCTGGTGATGCAACCAAGCTGCGTCAGCTGTTTGACAATGGCGTCAATTTTAATGCGAAGGATGAAGAGGAGCGTACGCAATTGTATTGGGCTTGTGCTACTGGCCGTTTGGACGCAGCAATATTATTCCTCGAGCGCGCACATGCAGCCGTAAACGTACAGGATGGACACCACTTATGAGCGCCGCCTCTGCTGGTCACGGAGAAATTGTCGAACTACTCCTTAACAAGTAACTTGTCGTTCCGATGTTAAAACCATCGGAGGCCCGACAGAAAGATTCATCATTGTGCATTGGTGCTGACGCGAGTCTCTTTAATGCTAATGGACAAATCCCGCTTCACTTTCACAGAGATAAATTGAATAATGTAGTTGCTTGTAGATTTTGTGCTTGAATTGCTGCTCATATTTAAGTTGTCATGGTGTGATTGTCAGGGAGACAAGAAATTGCAGAGCTGTTAGTAGACTATTCGCGGGATATGAACCATGCGGTGCGCTAAGTGTGCCGAACTTAAACGTGGTGCGTTGTATGTGTTGATGCACTGATGTTGCAGGATATCATTGGAAGCACTCCGCTCATGCGTGCTATATATGGCGAACCAAATCCAGGTTTGTGTTTGTTCCACTAGAAACATGGTTTTGCGCGTGCGTCCCACTGTTGCAGCAATCATTGCTCCTATTATCGAACATGGTGCGAATATTAACACTCGTGATGTCAATGATAACACGCCACTGCACCTGGCACTCAGCGAAGAGTACGAAGAGATCGCGCTTTTTCTTCAAAAAACGGTGCAGATCCACTAGCGAAGAACAAGGGCGAAAAAACGTTGTATTGATTTGGCAAGATTTGCATTTCGCGAGGGAAGTATGGCCAAGAAAAAAGAGTAAATAGTGAAATCGACATAAGATATACACTGTCAATAGTAATAGAATTCGATAAAGTCCGGTTTTTATTGTCGGAGCAAAAATACGAATCAACATATTCGAAAACCTTTTATTGAATCTAAATTGTGTGGTCATTTACCGACTTTCAATTATTCTGTCTTGAAATTATCGAACTGCTTGCTGTATAATATCCTTTGGCTATAGTGTGTGAATGAGCATTCCACCAATCTTGCCTTGAGCCATAAATTGTGATTCTTGAAAGTTGCAAATTCGTGAATTGAGGTCAACAACTTGCAAGAAAATGTCATAAATTGGATTTGACAAATTTTTCGTCATTATCGATTGAGCCCTTAGAAAACATTTCATTATTTCCTAGTTTGACTTCATCGTTCCCAAACAGAATTTCAATAACTTCAATAACCGCTTGTTGATACCCTTCAAAATTGGGTTCATCCATACCCAGAAACTCACAGAGCTGTTCTGATAGATGAAATCTGGAATCAATTATTAGATGTGCAATGGTGCGGTTTTCCATCATTATTCAAAATTCTTCCCTTTCTTTCTCCTTCATCAGTTATCTGTCCTTTTTCACGAAATACAAAAATTGCATCTGCTTTTACCAAGCAGTTTGTGAATGTGTCCGCCGAGATAGCACTCATTACTTTGACAACATAGTTAGCCACGTCTAGCAATTGGCTGGTCTTCTAAATTCCACTCCCGCTGCACCTCATCTCAATTTGGCAGCATTTGCTTATAAACGGATTTTAGAATTATCTATCAGATCATGATAGGAAAAACATGTCTTCATCAGCATATAAACTTGTAGTGCAGCAATAATTTCCATGTCCATTGTCTGGTTCTATAATGTAACATTCGGAGGAAATACGTAACCCTTTCGCGTCTTTCTCAAAAGGTTGAGAATGTCCGTGTGCTTTATCAAGACTTAAGCCACCTACCGCTTAGTGGTCCGAAAACTTCTTTGAACACCAGTCTATCGTACTTTACTACTTAAGGCAGTACGTGAATGAAACAATCAGCAAATGTCTTGCTAGTTGATGGCACAACGAAAATACAACGCGTTGAAGCCGTCATCTGCCATCGCAAATGGCGTGAAAGGTAGTTTCATCGCCGAATATTGGAAGGCGGGAGCTGTACGGTCCAGGCGATTACAATGTGGTGAGAAAGCTAATTCTGAGATTGCGTCGAAAGAGGATAGCTTCACAATTTCGCGGCTAACAACACACCTTGTAAATCAATGGTAAAATTTGTTCCTTACCTCGGTGTCAGCCAGTGGTCCACCTGATAATATGCGTTTTTTGTACAAATTGTAGTAAAAAAATATGAATTATGAATTACGATAATAAATTAAAAAAAATTCAAGCGGTAGCGCGTCCCGGAAGGCCTATTTTTGGTTAAATTATTAAAAACGCCATCACCACCCAGATATGCAAGCTGGATTGTTGCCTTTTTTCGAAATTACTACACGAATGGGCTCTATCTCGGTTGCATTGCCACAAAATAAGCGTAACTTGCTTTGGTCTTTTTCTTGTCTCCAGCAGCAGTTCAACCTTCAGAGAGTAACAAAACAGAATAGCGAGCTATATCATCCACGTCATAGACGCAACTTGGGTCATATTGCTTACTAATCTTCTCACGTTCTTACAACTGATTCTCAAGTCTCTGAGTAATTCTTCTTGACCTCACCGCTTTTGCTATGAAGAAGATGTATTGCAATTCTCGTCTCTTCTTGTACTTTCCGAAATTATCGAAGGTTGCTCAAGGCTCTGCCGCCCTCAATGGTAATAGTTTAAGCGAAAAAAATCGCGGAAACGAGGCTGAATGCAAAATACTCGACAACTCCATCTTCTCAAAATTCGAGGCGATTGGCTTCGTTTAGACGCTGTCCTGCCCCTTCTGAACGGCACGCGTATCTGCTCGTTGAGAACTATCAAGGTGCGAACTTAGGAAAATGATTACTGTACCTCAGTATTTTGGCAAGCAAAGTTGTCCGTGACACTTTTAGTGCGCTCTGTACACTTTAATCGGAAAAGAAGTTTTTTTACATTATTTGAATGAATCATCCATTGTATATTTTGATTGTCCAATACTAGTTTCTGCCCAAGTGCAATCTAAAGGAATACTTAAGCTTTAGTATATTGGCTGATACGATCATGTTACCTTTCCCAAAAATAAGATCGCAATTTTAACCGTGCACTTTGCGCCGAGGAAGCTCCGGCTCAAAGAATTTGTTTTGATGAACACACAAAGATGAATTCGAGCGCTCTTCCTATCATGAAATCGCGGACTTCTCAAAATAAATTATTAGCTCTCTTGCTATTTTTAGAGGAACATACATTTTGGACAAATTCTGTTCAAATAAATACTTAATGTGTGCGTGACCATATCTTGTGACAAAACTGCGTCAATTTTTTGACGTGCAACAAGCAGCCGTCATAAATCACTTACATCTCCATTTGCGGAATCCCATCATCTTCATATATTCCAAAACGTCGGTATTTATGAATATTCACAACACAAAGGTGCAATGTGAATTTATATGATTATCACGAAATTGTATGATGTAAGTACACAAATTGCACAGGATTGACCCTCCTCCACTTAAAACTGATCACACTGGAGCTCACACTTCTTTTCATTCTCGAGACACAGCGAAAAACTGACCTCTCGACGCTTAGATACTATCTTGAAGTCTACCTTCATTGTTAACACTTTGCCGTACCTAATATTTAGAGCTTACTCATACCGGCGTTAATTCCTGTGCACTTTACAAAATGGCCCAACAGGCTTTCGAAAAGGCGCGATCCTCGGAGCCGAATCACTGAGAGCTATTTTGGTGGGATGCCCTGGTGTTCTTTAATTATAAAAACCGTAGCAAAATTATGAGTCCTGATCAAACAACTTCGCCCTCACCCGTAGACATGGAGCTCAGCCGTCAACTGAGGGGGAGTCGAAAAAGCGTCCTATCGCGGGATGTTTTGCGACACTTCGCCAAGAACTCACGGCGATGTCTATCTCGTGAACAATGCGCTAGGCCTAACTCAGGGGTCTGACATTTCGTCTGCAAGCGAATAGTCGTGATGACGGTTTTAAGCCGTCCGAGTTGCACACCACGCTGGAGTTAAAACCTTACAGGCCTAGTCATGCGTTTTCTGCTCACAGCGCGAGCGATACGGGCGCTTTCTATCGTCACAGATCATCAGCCCTCAGATGTACCGCTTGCACGAAGATTAGCATGGGTCTGGAAAATTTGTGCCTTCTTTGGGGAGTGTAGCTTGGATTTGAAATCTGACGAGAGTGCCGATCAGTTAGAGTACGTCAGTCACTGCACTGGTTGAATGATACACGCCGTGTCATGTGTCTAGCCAATTTCACTGAAAAAGGTGGTGACGAGAGCATCGACTCCGATTGTCCTTCCACAATGCAAGCAAGGTGCTGATGTCGATGTGGGAATCCATCTCCATGGGTTCCAATCGCTTACAGCCGCCCTCGTTTTCATGAGACGGCTATACTGACCACCAACCAAGGCTCTTACTTTTGAATCAGGCTGAAACCGGCCATTGTAACCAGGAAATCTTGACGACTAACTTTCCGACTGAGGCTAATCCTTTTACCTCACCACGTTTTAGAAATGGCATTGGTACATTTTCTAGTCCACAAAATGTTCCACGTGAAAATGAACAACCTCATGCTCATTAAGCAATGACAATGAAGGGGCTCCCTGCAGCTAGCTCTTGTGAGCTCTCTTGACGGTGGCAGCATGCAGATTCACTCCAACAGTCCTGAGCAAAGGGTTTCTATCCATTAAGCAAACACAAAGCTCGGACCCTCAGAGAGTGCGTAAACTAACGCATAGAGGTTGGGCTTGTATGTTTGCACCGGAAGCAGAACCAAGATCACGTGTGGTAGAAATGGATTTTTAAGTGCAACGAGCAAACTGTGAGAGATCCCGTCGCATTTTGCGTAGAGGAGGCTTGGTTAAGGTCGTTGAATGCTTAGAACCAGTACGAGTGTAGCAGATCGCAATCCACTTACTCCAAGAGTAACCACAACCTTAATTAACTCTTCCGTTTGAAACGTAAACTGTATTTCTCGGTTTTAATCACGGCAAAGCCGCCTTAATCTAAAAATATAGGTTTTACTATCTGTCTTAGTTAAATGTATAGCTTCTGGCTGTTCCAGCCATGTACTGACTTGTTGTTTAAGTGTAGCCAAACCATTGTGAGGTCACACCACCTTGTGTAATCACGCCAATGTGTGATCACACCATCTTGTGTGACCCACACCCTTCCTACCTGGCCACGGGAAACCCCGTTACTGTCCCCCATCAAGGTTGCGAACACCTACAGCTCACATTCATTTGTCGCCTCGAACGGGGTTCGCGTGTCTAAGACACCACAAAACCACCAAGACCTTCGTCACGAATTCTTAGCGCAATGAGCTTTGTGTCGAGGACACGGAAGACACCCAGCCTCGCTGGTCCCAAGAACGCCAGCAGGTAGAGCCCTTCTTCGTCTCCTGCACGCGGTGCAACTTCAGATAGCACGTCCGCGGCTTCAAAGGAAGCGCAACCCAATTTCTCGGTAATCGAGCACCGCGAATCGCATTGTCGGCGACAGAGTCATACGACCAACAACACAGACGCGATGTCTACTCGCGACCGCGCACCGCGCCCGCTACGGGCAATGGATTTCCTCGTCGAGGATTTGGATGAAGTAGATTACGAGTCGGATACTCTTTTCTTAGAATGCGAAGAAGAAGAAGGTGAGGTGCTACAGCGGCGCGACGTGAGCCCTGCTCGAACCTTGCGGACACAACGTCCTTCTCTTCTGGGGGAAGTTATATCATTACCAATGACCTCGACGAGGCACAGAAGCAGCAGCTGGATGCTGTCCTCAGGGCGACTCCCATGCGCGCGCATCCACGATCGGTCCTTAACCCTCGTGTGGAATGCGGCTTTCGCTCGGCGGATTCCGCAACAGAAGTGATGGACGCGATCACTCGATCGGCGGGCGTCTATGTGATTTAGTCCCCGGCTACTATACAAGCTGAGCTTGACGAACGAAAAGCTCTCCGAGCTCGCTTCTTAGTTCCTCAAGGAATCCCGATGAATAGGTACCGCAACAAACTTAGTGCTCAAAGAGAAAGCTCTCCTGTACCCGCGATGCGGACGATTCCTGTGGTGCTCGCCCCTGGCGAAACCGCTGCAGATGACGAATACCTCTTTGAGCGATAGGTGCAGCGACACCGGGTACCTATCTTGCTGTACAACCTAAAGTTGAGCCTTCAGGAGGTGGACGCGCGCGTGGAACGCCATCTTCGGTTTGATTTTATCAAACTCCAGGCTCGTCTTCGGATCGTCGCCGTGCGACGTATGGGTTGATCTATCATGCTCCTGCGAGCTCTGTGGTCTTTCACACGGGTGAGTATGCGACCACTGCAGCTTAGGGCCACAGCTTGAGCCCAACCCATGGCCCTTCGGCTTCCTTGGCTATTACATAGAAACGCGTGGCGTACGACGACGCGGAACGTCATGAATCCTCTGATCGTAAGCGTCCACGACGTTTGGGCAGTCTTGCTAAAGCGGCACCACAAACTCCCACGATATCTCGAAGTTTGAGTATCTTCGCCACTTCACAAGATGCTAGGTTTGACCCTGGAGACGATGTCGACCCACAAGATGTTCCACGTGATACTATTCTCGTCGAGAAGAGTCGGCGGCGGACGATGACGACTGGGTCGATCGCCGTCCGGTGACTCCCGGTTCTCTTCGAGCTATTGAGGACGAGGTTTGTTGCGATCGGGACTCCGCTGAGCATCATGCTGGGGTTGCAAATCGCTGCGCAGAAAACCTAGAAAGCTTGGAGCACGTTGTGCATCGACTGCCTCACGTTGAGGACTATCGCGCTCTGTCGAAGCGGCTCCTAGCCGTTGAGCAGACGAATGCGTCATTTCATGCGCAGGTAAAGCGCTTGGCGCTGTTGGAGATGGAGATCGTAGATCTCCGTGCTCAAAACCAGTTGTTAGTCCAGCTTCGGGGTGGTCGAGCGTCGGTAGGCGCCGTTTCGGTGCCAACGCTTTACTTGCGACGGATCCCGGTACGGCTTAAGCAAGCCTGCAGAACACATCCGTGTGCGTGGGCACCTTTTTCGGAAGGTATGGCGTTTACCCCGATGCCCTGCTTGTCCGCAACCTTGAAAATTCTGATTAACCTTGGACGGAGCCTCGTCTTAAGACAGCAAAAAAATGCATGAGTAGAAAGTTTCTTAGCATTTAAAT